AAATTATCACATCATCTGCTGAGTATTTCAGAAAAAGTTCTCCTGAAGTAAGCTCACAGCACCAGGCAGTCTATCAGGCAGACTTCTGATAGCTATGTTTTGAAAGGAAGCTATTTTTTTAAAAGAATAGCCAGCAAGATTATAATCTGATTAATACTATTTTAAACCAGAAGAAACTCCCTTTACTACAGATTTATTTCTGTAGGAAGGGCAGGCACTGAACCTCTGGCAGTTTGGTCTCAGCTGTTGAAAAAGAAACAAGCTGCAGTTACAGGATTAGAATCCATTTGCTGGGCTCCACAGAAACTAGTATATCCCTAGTGTATGCATCCCTATTTATCTCTGTATACAACAGATATAATGAGCTATATCCTTTCTTTAAAACAGAATTCCTTCAAAGTCTCAGACACCTATTGCTGAAAGCCCTTCCTTTGACTCTGGTTTCAATCTCAAGCTTAATGCTTGAATCACACTAACTTCATAGAAGTTGTATCCACTCCCCTTATGAACTCAGTTTTGCTTTGCAGTTACACGCAACATGCCTCTGAAACCTGTTTTTCTTTGACATGCTTTTACATGGGAAAAAAACTAACACTAGGAAACATTGGAGTGGGGTGACAACTGACAGTATGTAGGCTTATCTGACATGCAAATGAATGCTCCCAGTCCATTTACAGCAGTGAGTAAAGACTGTTTTCTGGCTCAAAACAGAAAAGGCTTTTGGAGCAACCAAAGGCACCTGCAGAGGAAGAATTTGCGAAAAGGGTTTGTCTTTAAGTGGGGACTATTGCAAGGTTCTCTCTTGCTTCTTACATGCCTTCCATAGCGTGTCTGTCATTCATTAATTTTCCTAATATGCTTTTCAGAAATGTACTCGCAAAAGTAGAAATAAATGGAGATTGTGCTGCAGGATTTCTTCTGAGTGTGGCTTTACGTGATACTCTTGCAATCTATGAATCACTCATGTAGAAATAATTTAATGTAAAAGAACGTCAAAGAGAATTCAAATACAGTAAGATTGCAAGATTCCAAGTGTTTCGAAATTAGCCAGCCCCCCCCCAACCATATAGTATCTTCCCTCTGTATTTTTCTGCTCAGTAACTTTTATCTCTGCTGGAACTTGCACAGTAGGAATAACTCCTGCCTTCACAACATCTCTCCTGTTTCTGGCACAACAGCTACATGGGTGGAGGGAGCCCTTTTGAGAAGCTATGGTTTGTGCCCGTGCCAGGGTATTTCTTCCCTGGAGTTGTGCAGCACAACCTTCCTCTTTACACACCATCACAGTTACAACCACTTGTCCTCCTTTTTTTTCCAAATGTCAGCCTGGAAAACTCAGCCCTGTCTCCAAGCTTCTTCTGGATGGCACTGCCAGTGACAGGAGTTGGGAGAGCCAAGCTGTGTTCTCACCCACCCCTGCCTTAAAGCCAGGCTCTGCAGCTCCAGCAAGGTGACCAGATCTCACAAACAGCAAGCTGGGGGAGAAGCTCAAGTTGTGCTGTGCACACAGCCAAGATTGACAGCAGACACAATGACTCAAAGTCACCTGAGGAATGTAGCAAATCAAGTTAAGGGAATGTCCTTTTAAATTCAACTGGAAAAGCCATTTGAGGTTGCAGAGTCATGGCCCATGGAGCACGCTGGGAACTGCTTGACCACATAAAGCTATCTAGCAGTGCAGACAAAAGCCTGCATTAAAAAAAAGCCATCAAATCATAAACTACAAACCACATTTCCTAATTGCTTTTCTTACATAGTCAATTGCTGTAGATGTCTCAGGACATTTGTGTAAAAGAGATGAGTGTCTTGGTTAATATCTTTCTTTAAAAGAGACATACTGAAAAGTGCTGTAAAGGAGTCCCCATGTCATCAAAGAGCTCCTGGGCTATACCAGGAGCTGTTGCTGTTAATAACTAATCAAGAATCCCAAAGTTCTGAAACTTTGCCTGAGGTCAGGTAGTTATGGGAGTGCACAGCTCTGTCTATCTATTTTGGCTGAAGTAATTTAACTTTTGTGAAAGTAATTTAACTTTTGTGTCCTAAATCCATATTTGATGTAAATGACAGTGGTGGGGAAGGAAGGGAAGAATCAAATAACCTCCTTTGGCACTCAGCTATAGGAGTAAGGAATTTCAACTCTGGACAACTTTTACAGATCAGAAACCTCCTGGAGTGTACTATGACATTAAAGTTTGATTAGGACTTGTTCAAGATCCGCTGCATAAGTTCTTTGATAGCATTTGTTCTCTGAAATGCAGTGCCCTGAATTGGTGTAAGCAATAGCAATAGGGATACACTACATTGCATCCTCTATGTGACCTGCTTCAGACCAGAAAGGTATTTTATAAAGAAGATTGACATAGGATTCAGCCATGTACACAATGCCAATGTGGCAAAACATTTGCTACGATTTTTAGCTCCAAGTCAGCTGCTATTTACAGCATCTCTCTTCACTTTCCTACTCTTTCTCTCTCAGCTGACATTTTTTGCAAGGTCCAAGGTAGGCACAAATCTTGTCATCACCTTAAAAATAACATTGGACTGGCTTCCCCAGTTCCACAGTGGAGGTTTCTTCTAGATCATGCTAATAAATAATTTATAATTCTGAAGCTTTGCTCAAGTAGCATCAGAGGCACATAATTTCAAGGTTCTTGTACGTTCATTTACAGAAAGTTACATGAAGCACATAGCTACAGAAAGCAAAGTTGTGTCAGTCAGAGTTAGCTTTTCTGCAGCTGTAAGGGCCATAATTTTTTAAAGTACCATTTAAGTGATGTCAGAAGCAGCAGTGACTCAGCAGCATGAATTCTCCAAAGCCTTGTTACTTTTATTGGGATAGCAGATTTAAATTAAGCACATAGGTTGGCTATTGGGAATGGAGGTGGTGAGAGAAACAGGAGATTCAGACATGTAGCTAAGGAACAGTGAAACTGAGAAAGTGAGAAAACAAGAGGCAGAAGAAATGGAAACGGAGGGACAGAAAATGGGTAGCAAAGGTTGATGAACATGGTGGCTCAGAGCGTAGAAGTATGAATATTTGATATATGAGTATCAGGATGTTCCATAATACTCATGCTTGGGACATTTGCCATCAGATGTAGGACCAAGCTTCAAACACCTGCTGTTAACTGGGATCCAATTCTTCCTCATGCCCAGGTGAACAAATGCTCTAACCTATTCAATACAAAGGTGGCCAAGGGAAAATATCTTCCTTCCCATCCCCTGCCCCCAGCCTCTTTTGTGTGGACCTTTATGTGGTAGGTCTGTTCAGAAAACGGTGTCCAGCAACTTCAGTATGCAGAAGAATATCTACCCTGTAAATCCCAATAGTACATAATTCCAGGCTACTCCATACAGTACAGCTCTGTATGTACAGGTGTTTTTAAACATGAATGCTGCATCAGAAATGTAGAAGTTGGGCAACAGTACTGGGGAGAAATTAGGATCACAGACAATCTTGGATGCTGCTGCTTAAATCAGTAGTTTGACATTGGTGTCTTTTGTAGCTATAGCCACAAGTAAGTGCAGAAAGGTTATATTTTATCCTTGATTTCTTTGCCAGCAAACTACTGCTAATGGAGTGCAACCTGCTGTGGGAAGCATCGAATCCTAAATTTACACCCAGCATATATCTTGAGAATAATTTGTATTTCTCATACCCAAACTCAGATGGGCATTTGGCACAATGCAATGTATCTTTTCTGCTTGAAATATTATTCATGCTTTATCATTTTTCCTGGAGAATTTGATATGAGTGGAATATTCTATGTGTTCCTTTCAAACACTTGGTAAAACTGCTTCATCCCACTCACTGATGTTAGTTCTTGCTGCTGATCTCAGCCCAATAGTCACACGCCTCCAGCAGCTATTTACGTTTTCCTTTTCCTCCTTTCACCCTCCCTTCTGTTTTTTAATTTTAAAAGAACATTGGGAACTCTATGGAGCTCTTTTTTTTTTTTTCTTCTTCCCTCCCCTCCCCCCTACAGGTTAGACAACAATGTGTTTACCCAGGCTAAAACAAAAGACACATGAAAAAGTAACCTTATCCAACCGATACTTCAAAAGCATATATAAACTGTTCTTGTTGTTCTAAAATTATTCTTCAACAACCCTATTTACAGGAGAGTAGCTTCTGTTTCACTGAAATAAGCTCATGCTGCCACATCAATAGGAAGCCTGAGCCATGTGTGTCTATGACTTCCCAATATGGGGAAACTAGTTTTTCACATATTGTAGTAATATTCAGCTGTTCAAAGTAATTTGCCAGGAGTCACAAAGTAGATCCATTCTAGAGTCAGAAATGGAAGCTGAGTGTCCTGGCTGCCACTTCACTGTACTATGCACCAGATCTTATTGCTTCCCGAAAGCAAAACAGCTTTAATGGAAGCAATTATTTTCCATGCATTTCTTCAGGGAGTGATGCAAAAGACACAGTAGGAACAGCTTAGGAATATTACAGTTGTCATTAAATCCTTTTTTATCAGTTCCCAGGGAAGCATTTTCATACATGAGTGCCTTCAGTTCTACGTTTAAAGTCCAAATCAGTACTGAAATATTTACACGTTTCTTTTCTACGTGCTCGACAGGAATGTCCAAAAGCAGGATTTGAACATCAGATTCAGACAAGTACGTATTAAACTAGGCTTTCTACTGCTGAAGGCGGGGCTGATTAACTCTCATGAGATCTAAAACATCCTGTGACTCTCCTCCCTCCATGCTGCATGCAAAACTTCACTTCTGAACCCAAGTACACTTTAAAATTTTCCCACTTTACTATGTGTATTATGCACACAGGGCATACGATAGAAGAAATGTACAGAGAAGTAACTACTCAGTAGATACCATATAGCTTATTGTATAAATCTGCATGCTTTCTGTCATGCAAGCAAAATATATAAAGATCCATCTCACCAAGGCCCGAGTGCTCTGGAACCAATCCGATAGGATTGCTGCTCAGAATCTTGGGTTAAGCTACTATTTTTTTTTTTACTAACTCTCACCTTTGCTGTCTGTAAAGTTCCGTATACTTAGAATGTCATTAAGATCCTGATAGTGGTTCTGCTTAATGTATGTTGTTTTCTCAGGAGTATCCTGAAGTTGCATTGTGACCTCTTCCAAGTCTTTGTCCAGCTGCAAAATAGAAAGAGAACGAATCCCTGAACATTCAAGAGTCACTGCTTCCAGTATCTGCAGCACCTGCATAGCTTTCTGTAATCAGACTAGAAGGCAGTAACGCAATTGTCACACTGTGCCCAATACAGTTTTCTTATAGAACTACAACACAACCTCTAAAATTCATGCTACAAGTAACAAACCCTTTTCAGCTGTGATATTGCTCACAGGCCAAATGAGAAGAATAAGCTTTAGTAGTTGACAGTTTAAGCAATTCAGATGTAGAGCTGAATGAGAAATAAATGAGCATTAGAAAGGCCAGTCTGAAAACCTCTCAACTATTTATTATTTATGTGTACAAATGGACCATAGATAGCTATAACCACTTTGTTGAGTCAAATTATCGAACATAAAGGAGAATATAAGTGAATTGTGGCATCATGGGCATGTCCAGTCATACGAGTGACTGCAGTCAACTGTACTGGGACTGTTTCATTTCCATAAGATCCTTTTGATTCCTTTTACCTTTACACTGCTGGTAGACATTTCTTTTGTGTCTGTGTGTGTGTGCAATTTTGAAGAAGACCCAACTCACAGTTTTTAGTTTTGGGGCTGGGAGTACTCTATACTTTTGGGATTTGAAAATTACTCCCATGTTTTATATAGTTTCTGTCTTCAATTGTGTAGTCTTACAGCTAGCACTAACCTGCCATTGCAAGAAAAACTTTCCAAGAGGGAAAAAACGGAACTAAGAGGAGTGGGAAGAAACAAAAATCCCTGTCCTCAATCTCCCTCCCCAAAAGCACCCTTTAAGACTAGAGGGAGAGGGATAGAAGCACAGGTGTTTTCTGACTGGAAGAGCCATAGCAGAAATGCCAGATTGGCACACCCCTGGCTTTTAGCTCTAAGCTGACCACAGGGGGCTCTCCCTAGAGACTAATTTATATTCAATTGACTGCTGCCCCAGCAGGAAATAACCACATAGAAACATCTTAATGATGCTTCTATCTGGTTATTGTCTGGGATCTCTGGGATCTGGGATGTTCTCTGTGAACAGTTGTCCGGGATATAACATCCAGAGTACACCTCACTCATTACTGCCTTAACCGCATGTTTTAAAAAATGCTGAATTTAGATCTAAAGTTGTCTCCTCATAAAACTGAGACAGAACAACTCAGGCTAGATGAGACAGAGGTGCAGCTGCTCACCACAGTAGGGCATGCTCCAAATCCCCTTGACAATGAAACTCCTATTGGTTCAGGGCACTTAATCTATTTAAGCCAAGTCTAAAAAGATCAGCAGGACCTGCATGCACCAACACAGCTCAGTTGCCCTGACCAGCATTACCTGTGATCACCATCATAAGCCTTGCAGGGCACAGGCTGAGATCTTGTGAGTTAGGAAGCTTAGTAGAAAAAAACCTGCAGGATAAAGAAACTGAAATACCCAGTAGTCAGCTGAGCCTCCATTTAAAATTGAGAGGCTCTCACCTGAAAAGGACCTGGTAAAGCTGAACTAAGTGTCTTTAGCAAGACAGAGATAACTTTTCCTTTTTGAGACTTTGGCAGTTTGAATAAACATCTCTTGGTTACCTAGGCAATTGCTGTTAAGATCTGGATGAAATAATGGTTGCAATAAAATAGCTTTTCTTCAAGATAGAAAAATACTTCACACACTAGGCAAGAATGGGTTAGGTTTTTTTTGTAAGATCAGGCATGATTATCCTGTCTCACAAAATGGGTAGTCTCCAATGCTGATTTGTCATCATTTGAGGTGTCCAGGGCAAGGATGGACATAATTAAAAATATACACGTTATAGCCCCAATGGAATTAATGTGCTCCATGTACTTAGCCTTCCTTTTGGTAGGGACTGAAGAAACTTCACGGCCGTTGTGCCAAAAGGGTCAGCTGGCATGGTCATAAAGATCTCTTCTGCCTTAAGAAAATATGTAATTCTGTTTCATGGCAGATGTAAAAATCTGTCTAGCAAGTTTTGAGTGAACTCTCAGAGAGGTTGAGAAATAACAGCAACAGCAGTCTCTGAACTCAGCCGTAAACAGGAACAAAGGAGCTCTTAAGTACCCCTGGGGCTGCGGGTGACTGTTTCACTTGCATGTAAAGGTTATGCTTCTAGAGCTGTTGCTCCATGGTGCTCAGCATGTCCATGTGAAGCAGCAGGGTAATTTGCCTGCTACAAATAAATAGAAGCTTCATTTTAATTGCTAAAGCACATTTTCATTTTATCACACCTGTTAGGTCTTTGCTGTATTAATCAGCTACTCCTAGAAATAACTTGTTTCCTAGTATTTAAATATTTTCTATGGGGACAGCTCATTTTTTCCTCTGAAAAGTAGTCAGCATGTAAGCATAGTACAGACCTGCAGCAAAATATAATTTAAAAAAAATGGCCTAGGGAGTGTATAGAGCAAAGAATACCTCTGTGATTTTCATTCTCAAGCGGTGGTTCTCCGACTGCAATCCTTCTAGTCGAGATGTGGTGGCCTGATTGACGCTGGTGACGGATGTTGATGTTTTTGAATCTTCTTTCTTTTGATTTTGAGTGAACTGAAACCGTCTGTTCTGTGTGGCTGCATCTGGATTTGTCCTCAATGTGATGAGCTGAAAGGTTTAAAAGCCTTAAGAAATCCTGTCCACAGTTTTATTTTTGCAGCTATTTCTTTTTTATCTCAAACATTGAAATGCAAACCAAGAGTTTCTTTCTGACTTTCAAGTACAGACTTCTGGAAAGTGAGCTCTGCTTGCCACGTGCAGTACTTGAGAGGATTTCTGAATAACTTTACAGAATATGTTTAACCAAAACGATTTTGCAAAAAGAAGTGTTTGAAAAAATTAGGAAAAATGCATTTTAAATATATTTGAATTAACTTTAATTACATTAAAAAATTAATATTTAATCAAACATGTATTTCTCCTCCATTGCTATCTTTATACTTTCAAAGGATATATTCCTCCTTTAAGAAAAGAGCAACCCATCAAGCTCTTCTCTTCCCAAGCTCAGTTTCATTTGAAATTCCTACTTTCCTACTGTTTCAAGTAACACTCAAGCAGAGACACTCATGAAGCAGGAGTATTAAAAGAAAGAACTCATGGGAGATTGCACTCTGGGGATAACAGAAAGTTAATTAGGTTTTAGTGACCCAAAATAAACCAAATATGTTCAAAGAAATTAAATAAGCCACTTAAAAAAAGGTTAACCTTAAAAATCTTTAATATAGGCAAATATAGGGAAGATTTAACACTCAGTGACATGAAAATATCACCTCAACATGAGGAGAGAAAGCTACTGGCTGTTTAGCAAGGGGGAGAGAGCTTCTCAGATTACTCTTGAGAATGCAGAACTTCTGATCACTTGCCAAGCAGCACACATATATCTTTGTATACAGAGAAAGCTGAAGGAGCTCCCTGCCCTGAGAGCATAAGCATGGTACCATAAATCCGAAAGTGTTGAGTTATCCGAAAAGAGACAAGGGGCTATCATTTTGTAAGCACAGGACAGACAGGTTTTGTGGTATAGCCCAGTTTTGGAATTGCTTCCTCTTGTTCTTCAGAGCATGAAACTATTCTGCAGATGCAGTGGTGCGAAGTAAGAACCTAATTTCTGATAGAGAGAGCTCTGACTGATTAGACACTGAAGCACTTGGGCCCTGGTATTTATTTACAGAGCAAGCCTGCAGATTGGGATGGTGCTTGAAGACAATAAATTTAATTTTTCAGGTGACAAAGGAGATGTAGAAAGCTGAGGTACTTAATGCTTTTTTCACCTTAGCCTTTGCTGATAAAACTTGCTTTCAGAAATTCCAGACCCCTAAGACTCCTAAAGCAGTTGAGCACAACAAGTTATGCAACCTGATGAGGTGTATCCTTGAGGACTAAGGGAGCTGGCTGATGTCATTGTGAGGCCTGTCTCAATTACCTTTGGAAGGTGATGTTGATTGGGTGAGATTCCTGAGGACTGGGAGAAGGGAAATTGTGTTTGAGAGAGGTGAGGAGGAGAATCTGGGGAAATATTGCCTGGCCACCTTCGCCTCAGTCCATAGAAGGTGCTGAAGCAAGTCCTCCTGGGAACCATTTCCAAACATATTAAGAGCAAGAAGGTGATTAGAAGCAGTCATCATTGATTTATGAAGGGAAAATCCTGCTTTCTTCAGTGAGATGTCTGGGCTGGTAGATGAGAGAGAGTTATTTTTCTTGGCTTATATGAGGATTTCAGTACTATCTCCCATAATGTCCTCACAGTCAAACTGATGAAGTAGTGACTAGGTAAGTGGCCAGTGAGGTGGACTGAAAACTGAGAAAATCCTGCTTTCTTCAGTGAGATGTCTGGGCTGGTAGATGAGAGAGAGTTATTTTTCTTGGCTTATATGAGGATTTCAGTACTATCTCCCATAATGTCCTCACAGTCAAACTGATGAAGTAGTGACTAGGTAAGTGGCCAGTGAGGTGGACTGAAAACTGAATGGTGGGAGAGAGCACATCCTCAGCAAGTTTGCAGATGATCCTCAAAGAAGTGGAGTCAATATACCAGATGTTTGCACTGCCATTCAGTGGGATGACAAGAGACTGGAGATCTAGGACAATAGGAATCTCCTGAAGATGAGCAAAGGCAAACACAAAGTCCTGCCCTTGGGGAGAAAGAAACACCAAGTACCCATCCAAACAGATTGAGGGGTGTTTAGCTGGAAAACAGCTTTTCAGTAAAGACACTGTGGAGGATTGTGGTGGACACCAAGTGGAACATGAGCCAGCAGTACCCTGGGTTAATGGAGGTGATCCTTACTACTTGGCCTCAGTGAGAGCACACCTGGAGGGTTGTGTCCAGCTTTGGGCTGCCCAGTACAAGACAGGTGTGAGCATACTGAATAAAGCCCAGTGAAGGAACACAAATATGCTGGAAAGGATTGGAGCCTTTATGATACAAACAGTGACTGATGATTTTTTCCTTGAGATTGCCTTGAGATTCAAGAGATTGGGGGAAACATCACTTGTGTGTAAACACGTGATGGGAGAGAGTAAAGAGGATGGAGTCAGACTCTTTTCCGTGGTGCCCCATGAAAGGAAGTGAGGCACAAACTGAAAAACAGGAGATTTCATTTAAACATCTCTGTGAACATAGTCAAACACTGGTAGAGATGCTCAGAGAGGCTGTAGAGTTTTAATCCACAGAGATAATCAAGATGCTGAGTAACCTGCTGTAGCTGTCTTCCTAGAACTCTCTGCCTCTCCCCTCTCCCATTTCTTTGACTCTAATTAGGCTGGTTGTAATGACTGGTGTGTCTAACTCCCAGACCAAAAATGTCATGAAAATGAAGCTAAAGGTGAAGAACGGTAATTATAAGGCTTCTTAAATTAGCAGGCAAAAGTGTAACAAGATAAAAGCTCTGCAATTTTATGTGCTCTTAGTTCAAACTGAATATAAGATAGAAGTATAGACATCCATCAATTGACTCATCTTCATCTGGGAGTTTATAGCTAAAGACTGCATGTTTTGCCACAGGGACACATACTCTAATGAATGAATTCACATAGTATAGATTAGATGGAAAAGTCCATGGGCAATGTTGTAGGCTCATACTACAGGGGATGTACAGGAGATGTGGTTAGTTGAGCTTCCTTCTTTTTTTCTGGCCATAAATTCAGTGGAACTTGTGTCTTGCTGCCTCACACCTGTGCAATTTCAATTTCAACAGAGTCAAGACTGTATATCTACAAAGAGTCGCTGCCAAGTAGACAAAAAGTGCTACCAACACAGAAAATTAATGTTTTAATCCTGCCCCCCTTGCCTTGCCTCTCTACAGGAAACTGGATCAGAATTAATGTGTCAATGCCATTGCTGACAACAATGATACACACTTGGAGGGTGACTAGAAGGGAGTTCAGTGTTCTGTTTCAAAAGGCATGGAGCAGAAAAATCAGGAGGACATGGAAGTTTGATAAATGTGGAAAAACACAGGAAAGCTTTATGAAGAGAGAACAGATATCAGGATAGCTTCTTTGAAAGACATTATAAGTAAGCTGAAAATAATTATAGAAGTTTTGGCCCTTAAAAAGATAATTGGACATAGCAGTTAACTTTGAACAGGAAAAATATACATAACGTGTGTTTGAATTCTGCAGATCACTTCTACAGGATATCCTTGAACCCAGAAATCAATAATAGTTTTTGAAATGTTTGGACATTTTTTGATTGGATAACTAGAATGTCTACAGTTACTGTAAGAAGGATGCAGAGAAATGTGTATCAACCTCCATTGCCTGGCCACCTTCGCCTCAGTCCATAGAAGGTGCTGAAGCAAGTCCTCCTGGGAACCATTTCCAAACATATTAAGAGCAAGAAGGTGATTAGAAGCAGTCATCATTGATTTATGAAGGGAAAATCCTGCTTTCTTCAGTGAGATGTCTGGGCTGGTAGATGAGAGAGAGTTATTTTTCTTGGCTTATATGAGGATTTCAGTACTATCTCCCATAATGTCCTCACAGTCAAACTGATGAAGTAGTGACTAGGTAAGTGGCCAGTGAGGTGGACTGAAAACTGGCTGAACTGCCAGGCTCAAAGGATTATGGAAACCAGTTACTAGTGCTCAGAGGCTCACACTAGAGCGAGTTCTGTCACCATTAGTGACCTGAATGGTGGGAGAGAGCACATCCTCAGCAAGTTTGCAGATGATCCTCAAAGAAGTGGAGTCAATATACCAGATGTTTGCACTGCCATTCAGTGGGATGACAAGAGACTGGAGATCTAGGACAATAGGAATCTCCTGAAGATGAGCAAAGGCAAACACAAAGTCCTGCCCTTGGGGAGAAAGAAACACCAAGTACCCATCCAAACAGATTGAGGGGTGTTTAGCTGGAAAACAGCTTTTCAGTAAAGACACTGTGGAGGATTGTGGTGGACACCAAGTGGAACATGAGCCAGCAGTACCCTGGGTTAATGGAGGTGATCCTTACTACTTGGCCTCAGTGAGAGCACACCTGGAGGGTTGTGTCCAGCTTTGGGCTGCCCAGTACAAGACAGGTGTGAGCATACTGAATAAAGCCCAGTGAAGGAACACAAATATGCTGGAAAGGATTGGAGCCTTTATGATACAAACAGTGACTGATGATTTTTTCCTTGAGATTGCCTTGAGATTCAAGAGATTGGGGGAAACATCACTTGTGTGTAAACACGTGATGGGAGAGAGTAAAGAGGATGGAGTCAGACTCTTTTCCGTGGTGCCCCATGAAAGGAAGTGAGGCACAAACTGAAAAACAGGAGATTTCATTTAAACATCTCTGTGAACATAGTCAAACACTGGTAGAGATGCTCAGAGAGGCTGTAGAGTTTTAATCCACAGAGATAATCAAGATGCTGAGTAACCTGCTGTAGCTGTCTTCCTAGAACTCTCTGCCTCTCCCCTCTCCCATTTCTTTGACTCTAATTAGGCTGGTTGTAATGACTGGTGTGTCTAACTCCCAGACCAAAAATGTCATGAAAATGAAGCTAAAGGTGAAGAACGGTAATTATAAGGCTTCTTAAATTAGCAGGCAAAAGTGTAACAAGATAAAAGCTCTGCAATTTTATGTGCTCTTAGTTCAAACTGAATATAAGATAGAAGTATAGACATCCATCAATTGACTCATCTTCATCTGGGAGTTTATAGCTAAAGACTGCATGTTTTGCCACAGGGACACATACTCTAATGAATGAATTCACATAGTATAGATTAGATGGAAAAGTCCATGGGCAATGTTGTAGGCTCATACTACAGGGGATGTACAGGAGATGTGGTTAGTTGAGCTTCCTTCTTTTTTTCTGGCCATAAATTCAGTGGAACTTGTGTCTTGCTGCCTCACACCTGTGCAATTTCAATTTCAACAGAGTCAAGACTGTATATCTACAAAGAGTCGCTGCCAAGTAGACAAAAAGTGCTACCAACACAGAAAATTAATGTTTTAATCCTGCCCCCCTTGCCTTGCCTCTCTACAGGAAACTGGATTAGAATTAATGTGTCAATGCCATTGCTGACAACAATGATACACACTTGGAGGGTGACTAGAAGGGAGTTCAGTGTTCTGTTTCAAAAGGCATGGAGCAGAAAAATCAGGAGGACATGGAAGTTTGATAAATGTGGAAAAACACAGGAAAGCTTTATGAAGAGAGAACAGATATCAAGATAGCTTCTTTGAAAGACATTATAAGTAAGCTGAAAATAATTATAGAAGTTTTGGCCCTTAAAAAGATAATTGGACATAGCAGTTAACTTTGAACAGGAAAAATATACATAACGTGTGTTTGAATTCTGCAGATCACTTCTACAGGATCTCCTTGAACCCAGAAATCAATAATAGTTTTTGAAATGTTTGGACATTTTTTGATTGGATAACTAGAATGTCTACAGTTACTGTAAGAAGGATGCAGAGAAATGTGTATCAACCTCCATATTTGAGGATTTCTTTAAACTGGGAGAGTGATGAACATTTTTTTCCCTGATCTATCTTACTCTGAGATTTTCTTAATGTTTTTCTGAGACACTTGGTGCTGAACAAGATGGCAATGGATGAAGTGGACATTTAACTGGAGAAGTAGAGTAATTGCTGTGTTACAAGCAAGTAAGATTAGTAGAGCTGACAGGAAGTAAGGGGAAAATGTCATGTTTCATTCCCTAGTTTGCCTACAGCAGTGAATAGTTGCCTATTCAGATCCAGAAAAAGTCTGTGGGACAAAACTGTATTCCTGCACTGTTGGCCCAGGAGACTGCTGAATATTAGTTAAAAGGAATGTGTTTTACTCTGTATAGCTGAGGAACAGAAATACTCACCAGGCCCAAAACTATGTTACTGCTTGCTTCTGTTGGGCCACAGTTGAATAAATGAAAAAGTGCAATCCTGCAAGTCCTCATTATTGTCTCCTGTGCTTGACTTAGTACTCCTCCAGCAGTCTTCCTATGTTGCCAAAATTGTACTAATTGACTACTATTATTGGGTGCCTGTGTTCCACTGACATCTTACCTACATGTACCGACTGGGTGGTGTTGGATCTAATCTTCTGTGGAGTCCAGACAGGCTACTGTGAAACCTGTGCTGGAGACAGATGCAGGACGCAGCACTTGCCAGCTCTGCTGCTGGGACTCTGGCACAGCACGGTGAGAAGACATGTAGGGCAAAACACATGAGTGCAAGAAGAACTCACCAGCTGTGAAAGCACTACCATGGGCACTGGAAGTGCTGCTTTCCAGCTTCTGCTTCAATCTCGTTGTTTTTTTTTTTTGTACCTTATCCAACGACCACTTTTAATGCAGAATAGCTAAATGTTTGGAAACCTGACAATACATGGAATGAGATCAAGTACCTCACACCAGAAGGCTATGGCTCGTGTTTGTGTTTTGAGTAGAAAGAATTGAGAGGAAAAATGAGGGCAGGGTAAATGGGGTTTAAAAAAAGAGCAGATGAAGGGATTAAAAAAGGAAACAAAAGAGTCATTTCAGAGCCTGTGGCAGCAAAAAAGAGGGATGGGCAAAGGAGCATGAAAGCAAAGGGGCAGAAGAGCGTGTCACAGCATTAATAATATTTTCTCTTTGAAGAGAGTTCTGACATTCTGTGGAGGCATTTTTGGCATCAGAGTTTTAATATGCATTTTCATACAGCTTACATGCTTAAATCTTGCAGTATTTTTAAGTAGTCTGCATTGCTGTGTTTACAAAAGATTGCCTTAATTTAGAATGAAGTTGGGATTCCTCCCTAAGAACCAGAATAAAAATATGACCATATATGTCTGTACAGCTTTTTAATATTTGAGAAGCGAACTGCAGAACTTGTAAAAACATCTTGTTTAGTCAGTCCTGAAGAATGAATTACTTTGATTTTTTGCAGATAAGTCAGCTTCTGTTGTTTCTCTGTACCTCTAATTTCTTTCAGAAATAAATTTATTAGCTTGTTCCTTTTACACACATAGTTCTCGGACCCCTATTAGAAGCATCAGCAGACATGCACTTAGCACCAGAACCTATAATTTGCTTCATACATTGATTGAACATGGACCAGTAAAGAGTCACAAACTTCTTATCAATATTCATTTAAAAAAGATTAAAACAGGTTCCAGAGGTGAAAGGACCTGCATCTTAACTCTTGCCTTGTGAATGTTTCAGACATCCAACTGCATAAGCACCTGATTTGGGTGAAAAGACAGGTTTATGCAAGTCACTTAAAATTAATATGATTACACGTTTTACTTCAAAATATCAAATACATTCTCCAAAACTTGAGACTTTGCTAAAGTCAGCTTACACAGAAACCATTTTCCCTTTCATTCAAGATGTCATTCTCATGTCTAAAGCTTAATTCTGCAAGTGAAATGACCAAGTTCCAGCATTTGTGGATGCCTTCTCAGGTCTTCCAACAATGCACAAGGAACACATCTTCAGAACCCAAAACGGCAAAAAGAAATGAAAACATATGCCTTGAAGTCTGTGCCTCACTCCATTAATATACCCATTAATAAATATAACTTCAGTGTACATTTGCAGTGTACATAGAGTTTTCCTCTGAAGTACTGATAAGGCCTATGCCACTATACTTGAATACCTTAGGAGTTTCAACATAGCTGACCTTACAGTATGACAGTGAACTAAAGAGGTCTTATTGTTTTGTAGGTATAGAAGCAGAGATTCTTGCTTAGGATACATAAGAAACATAGTAGAACAGACAACTGGGCCTGTCCCTGCTGAATCTCCACATATCAACCTTTCCAAAAAGTTCCTAGAAGTAGGAAAAGGAGACTATTCTATTGACATTACAGAAAATAATATTTGTTTCCCCAGTCACAGATTTAGTAAAGATACAGGCTTCAGAAATGCATGTATTCACACTCAAGTAACTTTGCATATTCGACTTTATCCAAAATCTCATCAAGCTTTGCTCTTTCTCTCGAGATCCAGAGCCAAGAAATTGTAGATAGGTTTGGTTTAGAATTCACACACATCCCCTGAACTTGAAAAGGCAACGAGCTTTGACATGTTAAATCAAAATTACGAAACAGAAGGAAAAAAGCCAGACCCATGCTAAACAAATTCACTTACCTTAGGTACAAACACAAGGCAGAGAGTAATGGTGCTGCAGAATATTATGACTAAAGCAACGATGCAGAATTGTACATTAGGTTGGTCCCGAGTGAGGAAGGAAACAGCAGCACCAATAATGCACATTATCCCCACGTTGTATACACTCATTCCAATGTACTTGCTGTCATTCAAAGCAGGAATACTGACATTTCGTGTCTCCCAGGCTAGGAAGCACCCGAATAACTAAATGGCAGAAAGGAAAGGAATGAAAAAAAGATGATAATTAGATGCTGAATTGGTTGACATCCAGAAAAAACATTAAAAGTGTTATGTTTTCTAACTTGACAAATATGGGTAATATTACAATACAGAGATATACACCTACCTTTTATGCAACATCTAATTACCAATGTGATTTGTTTTGCTCCCTAGAACAGACTCCTGCTTTCACATAAAAAATACGAAACTTGGAATCAGTTGTGATGAGAACAAATTTCTCTAAATGCTATGCCTATCTTTATCTTATACTTTTAGTATCTTTAAAAGAGAGTCCTTCCTGTTTGTTTTCAAGGATTCCAGTAAAGATATAATGTGCATTGTTCTTTTAGCTATTTTTAGCAGCTGTTCTCAATATATTCTTATCAATCCAGTCATTCATTCAATGATTATCACCTACATTAATAAACATCAGTACCAAGATACATCTCATGGGAGACAAATATATAATGTAAAAAGTGTTGCCCCAGTTGTTCAGACTGTGATTATAATGTCTTTTATTAGAGTGGGAGTTGGTAATGGCCTTTCAATTGCAGTTGTCTAATGATTTCTGGCATAAAACATTCTTGTGGCAATTTCTTGTTGGCTTTTTTCTTTGGTGTGTTTTTAAGTTTTAGCCCATTTGTTATTTTCAATATGCTTTTGCAATTCAGTAGGGGAAAGTCTTTAGTGTAAGGAAGCCATCTTCATCCCTTGAAATTTTATTAGATTTTTCCTACAATATAGACTGCTGCAGATGATTATTTTCTTTCTCTTGTATTCCTTGGAGAAATCCTAGCAACACTGTAAAACCTTAAGTGAACTCAAGACATTGTAAATAGGTGACCCAGCCTACATTCTAGGCAAAGCATGATGAGAGTGTATGGTGCCCTGGGAAGAACGGCAGACAGCAGATGGCACTGGAGATAAGGGAAGGAGAGAGAAACCCTCACAAAGTTCCTTTCTAGCTTTTTCTGATCACATTGCAGAGACAGACAAGAAGGAGAAATAAAAAGAGGTGCACTCCCAGTGACCTTGGTACCCTTCCTCCCAGACCATCACATTTACCCCCTGCCATGCCACAGAGAAAAAATCTTTTATACAACTGCACCCATGTGGTAACCCAGGAAGTTAGAGTTCTATGATGATGCCACCTGGGGATTTATTTCAGTTGCCTAGTCAAAATTTACCTTCTGCATTTTTTTCAGTGGGGAAAAAACATAACAAATTTCAAAGGCAAATCACTTGGAGTAGAGGAACACTGTTTGGTTGCCAGTCAAGCACATGAGACTTGGGAACTGACAGATTTATGTTTGCTGTACAAACTCAGTTTTGCACTTGCGTGCTTTCAACTGTAGCAACAACTGGACATAATAACTAAAAATTGCCTTGATTATTTGCTTCATTTTTACTTCAACTAACAACGGCAACAAACCCAAGCACTTGTGAAGCAGCTGCTCTGCATTCCCACAGAAACTAGCAGGATGCAGCCACTCACCTACTCACCCAGGCACTTTACACCAGTTGGGCCTTCCCAGCAGTAGCAGCAGTTGCTCTTGCAATCCTAAACCAAGTCAGGGTCTAGGACAACTGTCTGTCACCAGCTGTCTGCTGAAACCAATTCTCTGGCAGCCAGCTCACCCCCAAACTCTTCCACACTGCTGAGTCTCCACTGGGACAACTGCATGTGGATTGGCAGATGCTGCTTGCTCAGCAGCATGAGCAGAACCTCAGTCAGTACCTTTGAGCAGAAGCTTGGGGAGCCAGTAGCTCTGCTCACAACACTCTGATTTTTGCAAAGAAACTTTGTATATATAGGGGAGTCACACAATTTTTAACACCTGCTAGCTGATTAATCTCACGCCTTGATTGTGCTCAGCCAGCAGAGGTGTGTGTCCACCTTGCTCTGTTTTTGGTTATCTCACAATTAGATAAAGGCAACTTAATCAAACATGAGAAAGGAAAAAATAACAATGAGATAAAGGTGTTGTTGGTCATCCCTCACTCTCCCCCACTTCTCCCAGTATGAACAGATTCCCTTCTAAAAGCATTATTCTGGGAATAGAGCCAGCATACTTAAATGAGGCCAGCACTTACTACAACTAATGGGCATGCATTTATAGCTGAGGCAGTTTTAAAGAGATCTAAAATATCAATTAGAATGGAAAAAGATCATTTGAACAGTGTTGCGGGGGTTATGGTTTGGCCCATTCTCATTTATAATTGAGAACAGCATGGAAAATGGTTGAGTATCTTCCAGTTGAAAGGAAGATACTATTTATATGATAACTAAGAAAGGGAGAGGTCTTGCAGCAAGTGGGTTCCCCCAGAATGATGCACTATAAATTTGATAGCATTGTTTTTAATTTTTATTGGCATTTTGGGGAAAAATACCCTGCCTCACGAAGAGAGCTCTTATTTTCTACAAGTCAGAGTTCATCTTTGAGACTCAAACATGGAAAAGAGCTTAGAGTTTTCTGCAGCCTGCTGTCAGGGCAGTTGTGATCACACAGCTGTGATGTGCTCCTTGTTTGCCTGCTACAGGTACCTGCAGGGCTCCATGGGGTTGATAAGGTTCCTCCTCTGAAATAGCACCTTTCTGAGGGACTGTGACACTTTACTTTCTCTCCACCCGCCCTTCTTATTGTCCCCCTTTCTGAGGCTCAGTCAGTCTGTACAAATGAAAGATTTATGACTGCAAAAATACTGAAAAATCCCTAAAAATAGCTTGGTTGAGGAATGGGATGCAGCTGTTGTTAGTCTGGATTTCTGTGATTCCTTGGCAAGTTTTAAATATGAAACTTTGGAGGTCCAGTTAAAAACACAGACTCTTAGTACCCCAGTTCAGCTGCTCTTTACTCCTGCTACCTAAACTTAAAACATTCATCTTCCTTGGCTATGTAAATCATGCTACTCATTGTTCTCAGGGCCATCTAAGTCTTGAGACTGCTGTGGAGTTTAAGGACTATTTTCTATTTAAAGCTGCCTGCTGAGATTTGCAATGCAGCTGTCTCTCCTATTGCTCCTGGAGGGCCCAAGTTGGTAAATGCTTCTCAGAGTGTGTCTCTTGGCTTGGGCCCCACACAAAATAACAGCAGCAACCATCTTCATTGAACACAATGGTGCTGGTGATGATCATTGCAGAACATTATGTTTGGAAAACATGGCACAATTCCAAATTTTGCCTGAGACATGCTCCCTAGTCCTAGAATACAGGCTGTCTTCAGAAGGAGCTCTCAAGCTTCTTTCAGAGCTGTCAGGTTTTATGTAATGAGACACTGACTGTCTTAATTACTTGGGCACTTGTGTGGGATGTTAGTTCTGATCTCTGCTGAGAAATTTGATTAAGTGGTCTTTAGAGAAGGCGTGTATGAACACCCTGGGATGGAGTCAGGCAGCTCGTAGCAGTGCTGATGTGCTAGATTTGGAGAAGGGCAGGACACATCAGCCCTCCCTGTTTTATGCCAGCTCACTTAGGCAGCTCTTTGCTGGCAGTTACAATTCCCCTCCTGAGGCTCCCGAGGGGTCCTCTGTATCAAAGGAGTTTGAATAACTCAGGGCTATGCATTCTCCTATTGAAAGCAGGCATTTAAAAGTTCAGGGGCACAATAGTCTACTCTCAAGTCTAATGGTCTAATTTAAGGCTCTCTTTGGGGATCTGTTTGCAAATGCAACTGGAAAGGCTTCCTAGATTGTTTGTCATTAACTTAAAGCCTTCTCCCATTTTTGTCTACTAAATGCAGCTCTTGATGTAGAAAGTGTCATAAAATGTTGTTTTGGGTTTTCTCAGAAGGTAAGAGCTGTACAGGCAAGATTGGTTTGTTTCATCTTTTGTTTGAGCACAGGCAGCTTCCATTTGACACTACACTGATTTACAGTATTGCCTTTGTAGCAGCTCATATGGTGAATTTAGACTGTGCTGTCAGTGCAACTAAAAAGGCTGTGAGACAACCATTGTATAAATGAGGGGAAAACAGCATCTGAAGACAATGGGATTATACCACTGTGACTAAAGACAGAAAACATTTAACCCTGTTTTTCAAAACTCTACTAGCTAGTTAGTTTTAAATCTTGTTCACCAGAATTACTGCTAAACACAATGATTGCTTACTGATCCACAACATATATTACTGCAATCAAGAGTCTAATTTGCTACTGGACTGCATAGACTGGAAGATGACAGACAGGAAATGGTTTATCCTCCTATATTCCCTCTTGCCCTGTACTGCTTTTAAACCATTTTGTCTATATATTTAATTTCAAAGTGTTGTCTGCTTATCCTTTGAACATGGGTCACACGCAATATTAGTAAAAAAAAGATAAAGAAATTAAATTATACTGAGGATACTAGACAAGAGCAGAGAAATATTGGAGGAAAAGTCTCCAATTGTGTCAGAAGTCATGCTTGCTGATAGGTACAGGGTATGGTTTTGGAAAGACTATATATTGGTCCAGGATGCAGCTCTGCAGCTAATTACTGTACTGCAGCAGCACTTACTGAACTCACTTGTGGATCACAGCTGTGCTTGATGCATGTAAGAACAAAAGCAAGCCTTTACTTCAGAAATCTTACCTCTGGTGACCCTTCTTGGTTTGTTTTTGGGGTTTTTTCAGGTTGTTTGTTTTGTTTCTGGTTTTGTTTTGGGTTTGTTTTCATTGTTTTGATTTAGGGTTTTTTATTTGTTTGTTTTGCTTTTGTTTTTGTTTGGTTTTGTTACCTTGTGGGAGATTTCCCATCCTGCCTCCCCAAAACAAAGGCAGTTCCAGACTCTGACCTGTAAAGATTGCTCAGTCTGAAGTAACTGAGAAGCTGGAGTTGTGGGTGTTCCTACTCATGTTCATTCACTACATCCAGATCACCACAGACTCAGGTTCATTTTTATGTCAGTGAAATGGCTGCAGAGTTTTTTAATGAAAAAATTCAAAACAAAACAAACAAAAAAAAGCATTTTGATTTTCAGGTTTTCATCAGAGAATTGAGCAGTAAA